CCTCCATTCAGGAGCCCTATACTTCACAGCCCACAGACTTTGAATGAACTTTGGTGACCCCAACCGGTACTCACAATGTTATGCACACGCTCTGGTTCACTGACCTGTCACAATGACGAGCGACAAGACGCTTGTATGACTTTCTTTTTTTTTTCAGCAAGTGACAGCACAGGACAAATATTGATTTGATTTTCTTTCCGGTTACCGTGTACATAGATACTGAGACTAGGTGCCTGGTGTTACCGTGTACGTAGCCGTTTAGGCTAAGTGAACCCTACCACATTAGCCAGCAGGGTAATATTTTTCGGCCTTTTTTGTAGGCCTATTAACCCTCGTCCTGCGGGGGCCGTGTTTATGTTGCCCAATAAGCCTAGGCCAATTTCGGCACCTCGCCTGCGTTTGGTCCTGTGTCAGTCTGGCCCCTGGCTTAGCGCACACACGCCGAGCATCATCTCCCGTTCAAATCGGGTCCCGCGCCGGACCCGCATCCACGCAGCTCAAGTGTGTGTGCGTCTGTCTGACTGAGTTTGTGTGCGTTTGTGGCCTTCTTCTAGAACCGCCTGCGTTGGTTCGTAACCGAGGCATACGTCTCATTCAAAACAGGCTAAGTTGGTAGCTCTAGATGTTCGTCCAATGAAGTTATAGATCAAATTGACCCACTTAGACATGAGGAGCTGAAAAGGATAGTCAGGAAACGAGACTTCCATTTTTCTATAGGCCTACAAAATCTTTCAAGTGAGCTTGATTTTGTATGAAATAATTCTAGATCTACCTGATACCTTTACTTTACTTTTCCGATCCAGCGGCCATCTGGGTTCTAGCCAGATCTACCTGATAAAAAATAAGCTTGTTTGATAGTTTTGAGTACCATTGTGCAGGTAAAAAGAACAATTTGAGTGAAAAACATTCGGAAATTGACCTATAATCCCCTTTCAACAACACGAGCGTCTAGAAAGGTTATTCGAATGGGCGTAACTACTCCTAATGTCTTATATATATCACCTAATGAGAGGGGGTTATTCATGTGTTCGTAACACTTTATAAATAGAAAGGTATAACAGATAGAGCGTTATTTTCATCATCAATTAACACACTCCCACGGTATTCATGGTGAAAACACACGTTTCCAGGCGCTCTCGCTGTACTCCAACAGTACACACTGATTGACCCTGGCGGCCTGCCCAGAACGTCCGATGTAAACGGTTGCTGATAAGATTCATATCTCTGCCCTGACGCAGGACAAGAGTTAAAAATTTATTTTGGCCAAATTGAACTTTGGTGGACCCACTGTGTTTACATACATGTATTAATGCGCACTAGCCATAACAGTGGGGAGTTTGAGGTGGGCTTGCCCCCCTGACAAAAATACTATTTAAAAAAAGACATAAATCTTGAATCTTCACGTTTACGTGGCAAATTATAAGTTTCAAAATGGCTGTCAATGGAACCGGAAGGCAAAGAGCGCAGAATTGTTCTTCTTCATGACTTTATTTCACTGTCTTCATGTTCTGTTGGAAATTGTAAAGTATAGTTGTTGTGACTTGCTTGGTCTTGGGATAAAATGTCTAATATGCAGTGTCTTCCTCTACCAGCTAGACTGAACGTCCTGCTCTTAGCCAGGGCTAGTACTACTACATGTGAAATGCATTTAAAAAAGTGTCCCTTTTGACCCTCAAAAGCAGTGCATCTATTCTATGTGTAGGGGTGAAAGTAAAAATTTACCGAAATCCTCTAGGGCTAAGCAAAAGCAGAAGCTTCGGAACACATCCCCAGCCCAGTCCTTCACCACTTTATCTAAAGATTTTCACTGACTGTGGACATTATATTAGTTCATAGTTTAGAAATAATGAGTCACGTGTGTAAAAAGATGATGTTGGTAGCACGTTGCCTTTTATGGCCTGCCCACTCTCCCAAAACAGGGTTTTACGACGCTCGCAACTGTATAAAGTCATATGAGCACGCGGGACACATTAAAACATCTTCAGTTTGGTAGGAATTTTGAATTTTGCCTGGGCGGCGGCCGAAGCGTACAGATGTCTTATCGATTTTAGGACCACCAAGTGAACTTTAACATGGGCAACTTGCACACAGGACCTCCGAGATTTTTTTGCCCTTATTCGAGAAGGCTAGGTGCAGATCTATTCTTACCTACCATAAGATCAGGGGTGTGGCTGAAAGATAACAGTAGCAGTAAGAAGGAGCCAAGGAGTAGCAGTAGAAAGGCTGCAGGAAGAGTCAGGAGCCCAGAGGAAAGGGCAAAGAGGAGGGGGGAGGGGGCAGAAAGTGGAGACTAAAGCAGACGACAGAATATGGTTAGAGAGCAAGAAAGGAGATGAAAGGAAAACATTTTAGAGAAGAAGATTTTGTGTGGCTATCAGGTTTCAAACCAAGAATGAGAGGCGAACACTGTAACCTCAAGACCACAAGCGCCGCCCCCCCGTGTCGTTTGGGAGCACTGAATTGTTGTGTGAACTGTATACCAGATTATGGCGAGACAAAACATTTTCAGGCAAAATGAAAATTTAATTCTTCATTTCTATTTTCATGTGCAGGAAGTTTCTTCTATGATTGCAGTTTTTGCATCTCAAGTAATTTGAGTCTTTTCCCGCTCCTGTTGCAAAAAGTCTGGCCAAGTTCCTCTGTGTTAAATACTGCACATGGGGCAAGTAGTAAAAAAGGCAAGGGCACAAATGCTTCACCGCATAAGATGCGGGAAAGGTCTCAGAAAGTATTGCTACTTTCTGTTTATTGAAACTGCATTTTTTAAGTTTCAAGAACTAATGGTAAGATGGAATTTAAAGCCTCATTAAAAAAGAGTGCTCCTTTTTCTTTGTTCTCATCTGCAGTTATATTCTGTCATTGCAAGTGGGGACTTTGTGTTCTTTGAAAACAAGTAACCAGTTATTCTACCTGTTAATTATTTGGTGTGTGCGTCATCGAAGGTTTGGGTGCTCCGTTAGCTCTGTTAATATCATGTTGGACTATGGAGCTGATGCCCCTGGTTCAAATCCCAAACTCAGTGTTTTTTAACTCAGGTTGTTTTGTGTAATTTTCAAGGCTTTCAACCCATATGGCACTTACTTTTTTTTTCATCCAAGGTTGCACTGCTTGAAGAGGCTCCAGATGAGCAAAGTGTCGTACTTGCAGCTCAATGATCAGCAAAAGAGTCGCATCCCGAGTTACATGGACAATCTAGATACCATACAGACGTGTGTCATTCACAATTATGAGGTGATAAAACTGATGCTGCAGGATTGCCAGTACATGTTTCTCAACAAAGATGAATGCATAACTGATGCGGTGAGTTTGAAAAAATAAAGATTGTTGTTTGGACAACTGATTCCTGCATGTGCTGAAGGGTACCTTTTGTTTATGACGAGACACTTTCATTTCTTAATGCAGTCAATGACACAATACATTTTAAATAAAAGCCTCACAAAATCAGATTTTTTGTCCTTGACATTTTAATATTTTAGACATATGTTTAGCTCTGAATAAAGTTTTTAAAAAAGTCAAATTGGATATATGATCGATTGATTTTAGTTTAGAAATATGTCTGCAAACATTGGGTCTTTTGTGCTTTTAATCATGATGCTAAGGGCTCTTTGTGCAAAGCAAATTGTTATTTGATTTCCTCTGTGTAAGTGTTATATGTGAGGCAACATGGTGAAATTAGGCGTTCGTCTATATAATCAAAGTGAAGAAACTGGCATTTTTTCGCAGGTTTGTGAATTAAAAAAATCAAATTTCGTTTTTTGGCACAACACCTTTCATGCCCCTTAAAGAACTTATTTTTGTGTGGATTTTACTGAAAGTGTTGATAAAAATCACAAAAATGTAAATTTCCAGTTTCCATGGACTCTCAAGCTAAAGGAAATAATTCATCTTTGGCGGCCATTTTCTCACTAATTATGCCTCAGAAGCAAGGTGACCCCCACCTCTTTCAATCAAAAATATCTTGAATTCTATTCAAGATTGATGGGTATTTTTCTCATGGAAAGCAAGGCAACTGAATAAGCTTTTAGATGATACCGTTAGCTCCACATGCCCACAAATTGATGAGCACCTGTGATTCCACCGCGTCATGACACATATTTTCTATGCGTTTGATCTTTGTTTAGGACTTTGAAAGAGTGAAGAAGACTGACTGTGCCCCTCCTACAGCCGAGGAGATGAACAAAGTGAAGACAACCCTGAAACAGATTGTCCGAGACTGGAGCGAAGACGGCAGAGCTGAGAGAGAAGCTTGCTATCAACCCGTTATGCATGCTGTCCTCACACGACTAGGGTATGGTATTCATGATGTAAACACTGCATGCCCCTTTCTGTCATTACTGATTGTTGTGGTATAGCTGTCATGTGCTATGATATTGGCACTTGTTGTGTCCAAATCATGTCAGAAAATTCTGGTTGTAGTGAGTAAAAGGAAAGGATCAGGATATATAATGGGTAACACTCAGGTGAGCCTAATATCTATTCAGTAGTTTGCAGCTATTGTACGAGGGAGAAAGGACAGTATTTTAAAACGAGAGTCTTCTTTTCCAGTGTTTTCCAATTATTCTCATCATTTGTTTTCATATATACGGTTTTAAAATCAACCTATGACTAGTCATTTTGCTCTATTTTCAGAATGAAGACTTTCTATCTGAGAGTAGAAAAAAGGAAACCTTTCCAGAATTAGAAATTATGAAACATTCTCAAAACAAGGACACCCACCATCAAATGGTTGTGACAGGTCAAGCTATTGTGATATTCTGATACTGATCAGTGCTTCCACTCTTCCGTATTTTTACGGAAATCCGTACTTTCTGTCAGTTCCGTACTTGTTCCCCCATCACTATCAACTCTCTCTATCGTTCACTCATTCCGTCTGTCTATCTTCGGATGGTTGCCGCGGCTGGAAAATCTACGTGTTGATCAAGTATATTGACGTGTGATCTTAGGCAGAAAATTAATGTCAGAAAGAAACTTTTTTCTACAAATTTGTCTAGAAGATTCTACGACAGGGGAACGAGAAAAGGGTCGCGATGAAAGAAACCAGCCTAAAACTACTAAAGTCAAGAATAATTCGAAGTGGTGCTCCGAGGTTGTGACATGCGACATTCATGCGTGAAATTCAAGGAAAATTAGGATATACGCCGGGTAACTGTATTGTGAAGGTACATATCTATTCAGTATTCTCTGGTTTGCCTTCTATCAATGGTGCGATGACAAATTAATTGAATTATAGTAGCAATAGAAAGGGAACCTGCTTTTAAACATTGCCATCAATGGAAATATATTATGTAGATCTAGATCTTGGTGAAGAAATCAAACAAGACAAAATGTTGGTGAAAAAATAAATGTTTTGATTTGCAGGCAATCTCTTCAAACAGGCTCCCAAATGCCATTTTCAACCCTATAAAAGCACTAAATTTCAAATTCTCTGGACCCTGCTGGACCCCCGGCAGAATTTTCCTTACTTTTCAGCTTCAGCTGGTGGAAGCACTGCTGATGTTGATTGTGCTCTGGGCCATCTCTGACCTGTATGTGCAGGAAATGAAGATTCACAATCACGGGCTGAATTGAGTTATTATGCTGAGTGGCAATTATTATATGTTTGGCATCGTGGTGAAACCGGGCACTCGTCAACATAATGAAATTGAAGAAACAAACAATTTACCAAAACCTTTTGTGTCCATTTAAAGACACATTCACGTGTTGATTTTTATTGAAAAACATTGATTAAAGGCACCAAAAATGTAAATTTTCACTTTCCATGGACTCCCAAGCTTTGTAAGTCACAAAATTTTGGCGACCTTTTTCTCTCTCTAATTTCACTTGTGACACAAGGCAACCACTACCTCTTTCAATCGCAAATATTTCAAACTAGTTGGGCCCCCTTTCGATGAAAGGACTGATCGGTGCATTAACATCAACTGAAAGTCATTGGCCTACTATATTTACACTCTACTGGAATGGAGCAATAAATCTTGAAAAATGCAAAAAAATGAGAAGGTCCAGATCTATACTCTCAAAACAAAATGCACCTCGTGAAATATCACTTCCGGCACTTCCGTTGTAAAGGACAGCTACACAGATTTGTTTCGTTTCTCAGTGGAAAAATCACAAATGCCAAAGAAGGAGGGGAACTTTTTGTCAAATATATTTTTCTAAATTCAGGAAATGAATATATAAAAAATTTGGCTCCCCCATGACGACTTTTCTATCTTTTTGCAGGTACTTGCCAACTTTCAATTCTGTAGCTGTCGTAGTTTTATAAGAAAAGTGACACATGTGTTTCCAAGTTGCCAAATATATAATAGATGTATAAATTGATTCTCTATTCCGCTTTCGTGGTTGTACACTCCAGAATTTCAAAGGTGTGGAATGAGTGCGCAGGGCTAGTGAACGGAAACCTCACTTGTTTACAATGATGTCTTAGAAGACGGACTTTCCCAAGATTAGATCTAAATTAAACAAATGAAAAACTGAAAATTAAACTACAGTAACTTCAGGCTCCTCAATAAAACTGCACCCTTTAAATGATTCTGAACCTCTATTAATTTTCTCAGATTTGAAAGTTATGTGGTTCGGAAGTTTTAGGCAGCCAAAGTGACGAACTTTCACAAATATAATATATAGAGATTCTTTTTAAGATATAAAAAATATATGAGTATTTTTTTTTTCCATCAAAAGCAAGGCAAATGAACAAGCTTAAACGTTCTACCAAAAACAATGTAGGTCTAAAAACTGACGAGTGCCTGATTCCACTGTGTTGTGACTCATATGTTGTTATTACCAAAAGTGCAAGTATTTGCCATTTGTCATTTTGCTTCATCTGAAAATAATACCTATCAATGCACAGTGCTAGGTTATGTGATGGATGACTCTTTGCTTCATTTCTTATTGAAAGCTAGTTACACTTGAAAGAGAAAGAAACATAATTTGAAGCTTAACTCTTATCCTGCGTCTGTGCCCGGATGCGTATCTTATCAGCAACCGATTACGCCGGATGTGCCGGGCAGGCCGCCGGGGTCACTCAGTGTGTACTGTTGGTGTACAGCGCGCGCGCTGGGAAGCGTGTGTTTTCGCCATGAATACCACGGGAGTGTGTTAACCGATGATGAAAATAACACTCTATCTTTCATAGCTTTCTATTTATAAAGTGTTACAAACACAGGAATAACCCCCTCTCACAAGCTGATAAGACATTACGAGTAGTTACGCCCATTCGAATAACCTTTCTGGACGCTCTTGTTGTTATGAATGACCTGAGGTTCGAAAGGGGATAATTTAGGTCAATTTCCGAATGTTTTACACTCAAATTGTTCTTTGTACCTGCACAATGGTATTCAAAACTATCAAACAAGCTTTTTTTTTATGAGGTAGTATAATTTCATACAAAATCAAGCTCATTTGAAATATTTTGTATAGAAAAATGAAAGTCTTGTTTCCTGACTATCTTTTCGAGCTCCTCATGTCTAGGTGGGTCAATTTCTTCTATAATTTCATTGGACGAACATCTAGAGCTACCAACTTGGCCTGTTTTGAATAAGACGTATGCCTCAATTATGAGCCAACGCAGGCGGTTCTAGAAGAAGGCCACAAACGCACATAAACTCAAGCAGACTGACGCACACACACTTGACCTGCGTGAATGGGGATCCGACTCGGGACACGAATGACACGTAAGAGGATGCGCACTGCGCGTGCGCTGAGCCAGGGGCTACACTGATTCGGGACCAGAACGTAGGCGAGGTGCCGAAATAGGCTTATCGGGCGACATAAACCCGGCTCCCGCAGGATGAGGGTTAAGGAAATAGATTTTAAGCTGTAAAATAATTTCTGTTAGCTATAAGAGAACTCAGTGCTATCCTATATATAATTGTATAGTGTTACCAATGTTTAGTACTTACTTCATGTTGACAGATGGTTGTATTTGTTGTTTCTTTTGCTTTTTGTTAGAACCAAGTAAGTGGCAGTAAGAGGTGGGCACTATATCATCAAGGAACTTTTATTTGATAGATCTATGTTTGAGATGCAAATGGGCAGTTGGGCAAAAAAAGAAGTGAATTCTTCTTGTTTTTCATTAAGGGAAAAGAAAAGGAGGGGGGGGGGGGCGCAGTCTTGGTACAACAAATCATTGTGTTAGGTGCCAGGTTGTGTCAATTCAAGCTGATAAGAGTTGAAAAGAAAATCCCAACCAAGCCAGTCTGTCAGCTAAGATGAGGCACTCTGGCATGTGTCATAACAATTTGTCAGTGGGATGTTGTTGCTGTTTTAATTGGAGTAAAAAAAAAAGATATATAAAATGCTTATGCCTTGATTGTTTTGTTTTTTTTTAGCTCATGGCATATGATGGTTGCCTCAAGCAATTATTAAATGCAAATGCAACTTCGGGAAACAGTGGCTGAATGGATGTGCACTGGACAAAAATGGAAGAACTGTTATTTGCATACATGTGTGCTGCTCCCAACTCAAAAGATGCACTAAATTCCCTGAATGAAAGAGAACAGGTCTCTATCTTCAACCAGTAAACACAACATATATCCCACGGAATTCGTACATGAAATGGATCCTCAGGAATACTTTTTTTCCCCTGCCTGTCTACTGTGAGACTGCCAGGATGAAATGGTCTCGCACCTTCTCCTTTACCTGCCCTGTACTTAACGAGCTGCATAGTACCTACCTATATATGCCTTTCCAGATGTCAAGAACCCTCTGTAGCGACGAAAATGCAGCTGGTAAAAACCTGTAAATTCTTTGCCATATCAACTGGCAGAAGGGCTCGAAGTAAGATAGCGGCTAGACTGGAAGAGTAAATTATTATAAAGTAGGTCTCTGCATTGATTAGTAAGTGGTATCTGCCTTGTGTTACCTTTGAGTCCTGGTTAAGATGGCCATTGCTCGAGAATATTGAGCATCGATATCAAATTGTAGTGCCTACCTCTAGTTCCCATACCTGCTTATAGATTTTTGAAAACAGTGTGTTTTATACAATAAGCCCTCAAAGGTTGTCGCCCCACAGGTCTCGGAAGCCCTCAGAGGTCAAGATCCTCGTACCCGGTGCCGGCCTCGGGAGGCTCGTCTTTGAGTTTGCCCGCCTGGGTTACTCTTGTCAGGGGAACGAGTGGAGCATGCACATGCTGCTGGCCTCAAACTTCATACTCAACAGGTACACTGGAGTTTCAATCCATCAAACCCTCTGATATCAATTTACTACAGTTAGATTTGGTATGTTTCAGATAATAGATTTTTATTTCTATCAAAAACTGGAAGGAAGTTCATTTTTCACTGATTTGTTAGCTTTTGAAAGACCTCGACAGAATCCGAAAAATGAGGGCTTTCCCGGAATCAACTGGAAAATGGCTATATATATGTGAATAGTTGTAAAATGTTTTTCAGTTCTGTTAAAAGTATTTAGTTGTTATGGGAAATTCCTTTTTTGGGTGCACCATTAAAACGCATAAAATGAATGCAACCTTTTAACTACATCACAGCAAAAATGGCAACCTTTGTACAAAATTGGTGTAAAGAAGAGCTGTAGTTCTATTTCTTCAAATCCCAGCTCGGAGCAGCCGCTCAGGTTGAATGAGTTAATTTTCTTCTGATAAAGTCATAGAGCTTTAGATGCGAGTCTTTGACATAAATCATTATGTGGGGTTGTAACAAAATGCGATCAAAGTAATTTTTTCATTGCAAATTTTTTCTGCTTTCTTTTTGCGCCTGTGACAGATGTCAGGAGAGGCAGTCCATGGTGATATACCCCTGGGTGAACCAGTTCACAAACAACCTGGCTACCAAAGACCAGACAAGGCGGTCCATGTTCCCAGATATATCGCCTCTCCAGATTAGCTCAGACGCTGATTTCACAATGGTGGCAGGAGACTTCACAAAGATATACACAGAACCCAGTGAGTAGATTTCCATCCTTTTGTTTAGATCATTTCATATTTTCAAAACATAAAAAGCACATATTATGAACAAGATCTTAAGAGTTATATTACAGTCAAACAAATGCAGAGCGTAGTAAATACTGCTCCAATTTTGTATGCCAAATTTGTTTGGTTTTTTTAATATTTGGAGTATTTTGATTTTCTACAGGTGTTTTTTTGTTGTTGTTGTTTTTTTTCATTGAAACTAACACTGAGAAATTTGGATGATGAATAGAAGCTGTGTGAGTAGCTTTTTTTTTGGGGGGGGGGGGTTTGGTCTCATTTGCGTTGTGGAGATGGTTGTCATAAGGGAAATGAGTAAAAACTCAACAGTTTCAAGCAAGGGATCATTACAGCTAGTGGCTTCTTGTTGAGGTTGCCAGTTGCAGTGGCACATTTTGCTCAAGTCTTAGTACAAGGGGACAATTTTGTAACTTTTTTTTTGAACTTCCCCCAATGTGTCCTTTTTTATGACACTGTGGACCATCACATGTTCCACTGCACAGCCCTGAATAACATCAGAGCTATAGTTCTCCCTCCGAGACCTAACATTGACAACTCACTCTGCAGAACATTACAGCAACAACAGCAAACGTGCACTTATCACTAAATGGCTTTGGATAGAAGGGCAAGGGCCCAATTGCTGTCCGATCAATAACAACAACAACAGCAACAACAATAGCAGAACTTTTATTTTAGAAAGCATTGGTGATCACTTCAAGTTTTTTTTAATTTTTCAAAAGAAGATTTCATTTTTTGAGTGCAGTTATCATTCTTTTGCTTTTGCCTTATTTTGAGTTTCCTTACAGAACTGCGTTTTATTTCTTAACCGTGAACATTGTGTTCAGTATTTTAATCTAAAAAATCATCAGTTTTTCAATTATATTTCATTTCTTTAGACCACATACGTTTAAATGCAATTTTGTAAATCTGCAATTTCATAAATAATATTTGTTTATATGTATCCGCCTTCTCATTGCAGACACTTGGAATGCCATTGTCACCGTATTCTTCTTAGACACTGCCCATAACATTATAGAATACTTGGAAATTATCTATAACATTCTTATCCCTGGTGGATATCTTGTGAACCTGGGTGAGTATACATTTTCGGTTTACAGAACTCCTTTTTTGCAAGTTTTTACAGTCAAATTCCTGTAAAAATAGTTTGGAATGATTTTCTGTTTTGTGGCTTGAATTGCTCTTGATCTTTTCTCCACGGGTGTTTCTTTGTACTGTTTCGTTTTTGGCTTGTGAATCTCTTAGCTGGTAACATTTGTGGAAAGAAGGGCTTACCAAATTAATGTTTGGTGGGTTCTCTGGTGTGGTTTGCTCCTTCTTTCCTATCAAATATGTAATGAGCATACCACTCCCCCTTTTTTGTGTTTGTTACTCTGTTGTAATACCTCTAATATGCTGCACTTATAAGACGTTATTGTGTTGCAAGTGCTGTAAAACTAGACTGAATGGAGACATAATACCACAGCATCCAAAATGGTGAACCGAATTAATAGCTGTGTTCTGTGTCTCTGTCCTTGCTTCCTGCCCAGGCCCATTGCTGTACCACTGGGAAGGTATGCAGAAAGAAATGTCTGTGGAACTGAGCTACGAGGAGCTGCGGAAAGTCATGCTTGATATTGGCTTTGAGATTGAGGTGAGCTTTAGTTTATGGCGGGTTGAACTTTGAAGCACTCTGCTGTTGACCAAATTTGTGTTCAAAAGTAGAGAGAGGTTTTTTTTTCCCCCTGGAATTTAAAGTATTCCAAGCTTTTCATCTCTGGTGTGTAGCATCGAACTTCATGTTGGCATGTTGGACAATGGTGTTGATACTGAAAATCCTGTCATAGAAATGAAATATTGATTGGGGGGGGGGAGGAGGACTGATTGCTGGCGTACTAGTTTCTATATCTCTTAGAAGAGATGTTGAATAAAAGCTAAAACAGCAAGAGAATTGTGCGTTCTTAGAGCAGACTGTGTTACACGGGCAAGCTCTCTGTCTGCAGAAGTTTTCTATTTGCTGAGGTTTGACCCCCTTGGCACTTCTCTTGTGGTAAGCATTTATGTCTTTTATGCATTTTCTTCTCAGTGTGGGTGGTTGGTGGGTGCTCTTGTGTGGTTTGCTCCTTCTTTCCTATAAAACATCTATATTCCTTATCTCTCCTCATTTTTTGTGTATGTTACTCTCTTGTGACACATCTATTCTCGGGCAGTTATATGACCTTATTGTGTAGCAAGTGCCGTAAAACTCTCACTAAAACTAAACTTAACCCATACATGTAAAGACGTGGTAAGGAAATGCTGCCTGCACTACATGTTTTGTTATTGTGTCAATGCGCTTCTCTCCTGAGACTCCTCTCAAACTGACAATTCCATAAAATTCCACTATGATGGTTTGCACCTTCTTTCCTATCAAACATCTGTCATCCTTATCTCTCCTACTTTTTCTTTATGTTTGTTAATCCCTTGTAACACCTCTAATCTTCGGCACTTAGGTGATGTAATTGTGTTGCAAATGCTGGTATACTCTTTAACTCTTACTAAAACAATTGTATTTTTCTTTCAGAAAGAGGAGATGAACGTTCGCTGCTCCTACACTCAAAATCCTCTGTCCCTGATGCAGAATTTCTACAACTGTGTCATGTTTGTGGCCAGGAAGCCCATCCCGCGCGGGGCCCACCATGATGGAGGGAGCTAATAACACTTGTTGAATTATCTTTGGTTTTTTTTTACCTGTTTGTATTTCTGCGTTCTGTTTTTGTGTGTGTGAGGGGCAAGTGTTGTGCAACCAGTCGAAAGATGTGTTTGATGAATGTAGTAAATTGTTTTATTCTTGAAGTACCTTTTTTGACCATAAAGTTAGGTTGACTTTATAAAAAACAGACATGTCAGAATTTTTTGCTTCTTTTATAATTTTAAACTATTTTAATTTTAACTCTTTTATAGAGTGACAGTAATGTAGAGGATTTGGTGTGATACTGTCTTGGCCAGAACTCTGTAACGGTTTTATGTTTTTAGTCATGAAGGAACATTTTGTGTTACATTTTTGCTCTTCTTTGTTTCTTGTTTTAAGCTTATCGCACCATGCGACATTCAAGGTGTGCATTCTCAAAGAATGCTATTATTGTATTGTTGGTGCGCTATTCCCAGGATGCTTGCCATTTAGAGGCATTTTAAAAGAAATGAAATGGTAGTGTGAGAGATTGTTGCATGTGGTGTTTGAGGATAGCTCAAACCATTATCAACACACTCAATCAGTTTTACTTTGTCTGCTGTGCTTAGCCCAAGTGGTACACCATCAACAAGAAATGATGAAATTGTTTCAGAAGTTGTGCTCACTTTGGTGGCTCTGTGATAGTTTCTCTGACAAACCGTCATTAAGACAAAAACAGTGAATGTTACAGGGATGTATGTTACAGGGATGGGTTTATCTTTCAAGTAAACTTTGAATCGAGACCAACCGTTGAAAAGCACCATGGCTTCATCGACACATAGCGTCTCTTTTAGGTTCGTACAGTTCCTAAAACTTTTCATTTAAGGTCAGAGATGAATGGTGTTGTCTTCTGAATAGGGTCATGGTTAGGATCATGGTAAGGGACAGGGACAGAAACAGCAATGTTTCACCTGTCTCCCGTCAGCATGGCCATGTTGGTCTGCTGGTGCCCTGCTCTTTGCCACAGTAGGCCTCCACTTTCCTCAGTCTTTTCTTTGATGCATTATCTCAATAAGTTGAAGGCGTTGTTTGAAATGTGGATAAAGGCAAGAACTGAGACTATATCTCTCAGCATTACCTCAGAACAGAGTGATGAGTACAAAGCTGTCTGCCGACTCCAGTTGTGGTGAAGAGTCGGTTTCTTGACCATGCCCACGCATAGGCAAAAGTGGCAAGGAATAGTTTCATTTCTTGAAGAGTCACTGATTTCTAGGTTTTTGAGACAGCCATGGCTAGACATGGTTTTCTGGTCTTTGCGATAGATTACTTCTCTCGCTTATCGATTTGTTTTAATTTTTCAAGTCATGTGTAAAATTCAGCGGGTAGATATCTAACGCTAATGGTTCTTCTGGTAATGGGATTTTAATTCCATGGATGCCCGTAAACCGTTCAATGCTAGGAAAGTTGTCTGTGTTTTGAACGCACAGCGTGTCATCTTCTTCTTCTTCTTCTTCTTTACCTTGCTTAATTTTCTCTTCTTGCGCTCCATCGACATAGGACTCCCTTTTCATATACACCAACATTCCAGCTATTACCATCGTCCATCCATCGTCATGGCTGTTACAAACAATGTCTGTGCTATAACGGTTAGGTGCCTCGTCGTCACACACTAAAGACCTTAGTTCAGATTTTCTTGTGGGGAGAATTTTTATTGAGTTGCTCAGTCTTTCTGCTGCTGGGATGTTGTACCCCTCTCAGCCTGGATTTACCCTAACAGACAGGGTCGAAGCTCACCCCCTAAATGATCTAAATTGTGTTGAGAGGGGTGTAAAAACAACTCCTATGTGTAAAAGACTTGGAAAAAAAAAAAATTAAATAAAAACCACTGCCATTGCTAGCTGAAGAGGAAGTCCTGTCTTGTGCTAGAACTGGTGTGCTAGTGTGAGATGTAGATGTGAAAGTGCTTACACTTGATTCACTAGGGGCCACTTCTTTTGTACAGTCCAACAGCTGTGTTACATGTTCAGATTGGTCGTTATCATTGTAATAATCATTGCTGTTAGCATGAAGATATTTTTTGTAAATGGCAAAAAAATTGGTGGAGACTGTAGAATTTCAATAAATATAACAATGTCAAAGTTCAACATTTCACCCTGTGGGCTTTGTTGGGAAAATGATAAAATAATGATTGTAAAAATCATTATGATCTTCTCTCCTTTCAACATGATGGTCTTCATCACTGGATCCTACTGGGTACACAGACTGGATTATTTCATTGAGCTTCAGTCTTTTTGATGCTGGAATGTGTCCCACCATTTTAAACGCCCGTCACCATGGTATTTTGTCTTTTATTTAAAATGCGTTGAATCAACTCCTTAAAAATGTGAAGGAACATTTGTAAATTGGTTTTTGAACACTTAACAAAATTTGGAATATGGAAAAGAAAAAGCAAGCTCATTATTTGCATGCAAAACTGAGAGGATGCCAGGGTGGAAAGATGTGGTGCGAAGGAGTCGATGTCTGCCTATGCATCAGTAGAGTGCTGCATCCCAAATGAGTGTGGAAAAGACTGCTGCAACAGGGCGTGGTGTGATGCGAAAAGGTTAAGCTTTGAACAAAAGTTATGTGATTCCTTCCTTAAATAACTGAGCAATTAGTGGTAGTGAAGTGAATGTGGAATTTTGTAGAAATAGTTGTTGTTTTGAAATATTCAATGTTCATTTAAAGTGCTTTGTAGCTGTGTTTCTTGTGTTCAATAAACTTCATTTGACAGTGGTCTGTGCTTTAGTGAATTTACTATAAATTACTACACATTATGTTTGAAGTTGAAAGGCTCTGGAGTGGAAATGGAATTGTAGTCTTTGAAAGAATTGATTTTGTTTTCATTATAGTCAGAGAAAGATCCGGTTTGAGGTGATTTACTTTCACCTACTTTTATAAAATCAAAATGAATTATTATTTTCCCCCCTTTGTCCTTCATGGGAATGCTGTTCCTTTGTTTAATTGCTCACCCTCATCAAAACACATTTTCGACTGGCTGTGCAACATTCTAGTCTGGAATGAAGTTACCCAGACTTAACCATGTTACGTCCTTCTTTGTTTTAGGCCAGTCATGTCTTCCTTATCGTTTTTTTTCTTCTGATAATCAGTGTAAATACTGTGTGAATAAATATAACAAGGAAAATGTGAGTAAATTTTCTAGAATGATTGCATTTATTTTATATATGAGAACTGTATCGTATCAAAGTGTGCTTTTTACAATAAAAAGTTGTAAGAAGGCAGTGTTGATGGCAAAGTGGGCAATTCCAGGAAGTGCCATTGAATACATTCTCTTTTCTTAGATTTTTTTTTTTTTTTTGAGATGTGTAGTAGAGTGTTACTTTGCTCGTAGGCTATGGTTTGTGTGCCTGTCAATTTTTGGGCACATGAAATAATTGGTATCATCTTAAAGCTTTTTTGTTTGTCTTGTTTTCGGTCAAAAAATATATTCATTTATCTTGAATAGAAGTTGAGATATTTGCAGTTGAAGGAGGTGGGGTTACCTGGTGTCCGAGGTAAGATTAGCAAGAAAATGGCCACCAAAATTTGGTGACTTCCAAGCTTCCTTTAATCGTTTTGCAGTAAAATCCATACAGAAACGTGTGATTAAAATGGACATAAAAGGTGTTGAGCCAAAAAAAAGTAGATAATTGCAGAAAAATGCTGGTTTCTTTGGTATGCGGCACTTGCAGTTTTTGAACTGGGCAGTTTGCTTTCAATACTGTTCATATTGCGCCCATTATATACTGATCGAGTATATGAAATACTTTTTTTTCTCCACATTTCCTGTATATATGCCTTTTTTAGTACCGGGTGAATGTAATGAAAAATTTGATATTTTTATGTAAAAATGCGAATGGCAGCATGAATCGAATGTATCAGTACAATCATCTTAATAAACGGTTTTACTGCCAGATACCCAGTAATTTCAGTGATTTTTTTATTGCAAATATTAGAGGTGAAATAAAAAATGGAGGTGTTTTTTTATTTTTGCCAGTCATTCTTTCTTCTCGTCTTCCTATTGTTTCCTCCCATGTGGTTTCAGGGAGAACGAATAAACCCCCGACATATCGGCTGCAGGTGGGACCCGTGTAATGATGGAATAATACATATAAACACCTTTTCTCAGTCGTTAATGTTTCATCCCCACTATCTTTTATGTCTTCTTCTTTTCTCCATTCATTGGCCAGTGAATACTTCTACCCCGAGCAAAGGCATATAACATTTGGTTTCCTTTTGTCTAATGTACTTTTTAAGAACTTTGTTCATTGGTTGACATTTAATTTCACTGCAAATCACGAAAGCAACACTGTCAATGGCATATGTTGAAAATGCTAGTCATATTCAGTGGTTTATTGACTTTGTTTCTTGTAAAAATCTACTTTTCCTATTGATCTGGTCTCAAGTGTTATTGTTGTGAGTATCAACATGACCATGGTATGGTTATCATTAGCTGTTGGCTCTGCCACCATCATCACATGGCATGGTTATGGAATTTTACAAGCTGCTTGTGCAGCCAATAGTGTGTTCATTTTGATTTGTCTATGCACTCATAATGACTGGAAGTTTTTCCAAGGCGAATATTCTAGAAAATGAAAGTTTTGTTTGAGGGCTGTCCCATAATTAACAAGAAAATGGCAATAAAATGAAAAATGTTGTCATGATTGAGATATAATTTATACAGTGAGTTGGCTAAATGTTCCCTTTATTTCCCAATGTAATCCTCATGGGCAGATGAGCATTTTGGCCATTGCTGCATGAGTAAATGCATGCCGTCCTTGTATAATTTTGCGTCAAGTGATGGAAGCCATTTTCTGACATGCACTACAAAGTATGCGTCATCAGTGAATTTCTTCTTGGCCAGATATGGTTTCTTTGGTCCAAACAGATGGAGGTCTGAAGGGGCAGGATCAGGACTGCGAGGTGGATGGGGTAATACTCTCAGCATATTTCTGTCTCCTTTCTTTAGTAGCCTTTTGGATAGCTGGCGTCTGTGTTGTAGCAATTAGTGGCTTCGCTGTTGCACTTAAAAGACCTGAGTTCCATTCCCACGTTGGGAGAAATTTTTATCGAGTTTCTTGGTCTTCCATCTAAGATGTTGTGTCTCTCTTGGCCTGGATTGGTCCTATTAGCTTTAAATTGGTATGCCGCATGAGTGGGTAGTGCAAGGTTTTAGCATGACAATTGGGGGATTACATTTTCAAGTTTCTTTTGGGTGCCACTACATAACCATCCACCCCTTCAACCCTTGGTGCTCATATGACCTTAAGCAGTTGCGAGCACCCTAATACTAATACGTTACTAAATCTAAAACGAGCTGGATCCCTGAGTGGGGAGACATTTTTATAGAGTATCTTTAGGTCTTTCTACTGGGATGTTGTATCCCTCTCAGCCCGGGTTGGCCTTGAGTGACGTGCAGGGTAGGAAGCCCAACTCCAAATTGATGTAAATTAGTTCAATTGAGGGCTTAAAGAAAAACTTACATAATTTGATAAAAAGAAAAAACAAAACAAATTAACAGAATTTCAAGCCTGTTCCCTGCCGTTAGGTTGTGTTGTCTGCTTCTAGACGTGACTGTGTTGGTGCAAAGTCAATTATTTCAGAGATGGTACAATTTGGAGTTCTCGCATTAAAAAAAAGTATAGTTGAAATTGTTCAAGATGGCCACTCATTTTGGAGAGGAACAAGTTGTCTTGTGGACTTCTTGGACCGTGTCATTATAATAGTAAAAAATATGTAAGTGGGAAGTGGTCGTTTGGACTGGTAATTGTCTTAGACAGGTGGCCGTTAGAGTAGATGAGCAGATTCGACTGTACATGAAAAATTCCCATTTTTTTTACATGGTTTGTTACAGACCGTCCTTGCTGATGTACATTTTCAATGGACATATGGTTCAGAATGATTGCATTGTCCCATCATAGGGGAAAAAGTGTTATGATCATTCATACCCTGTAGCCTATATGCACATTACATTAACAAAATTTATTTTTTGCCATTCCAAGGTCCCAAGTAGTGTTTGTTAGATCTTACAGCTGAAGACATTTATTCTGATGCGAAGAGGGTATGATGTTATACCAAATTTATTTTTGAAATGTTAAAATTATTTGTATCTTTATTTGTTTAATTTTTAAAACTAGAAACTCAAAATGATCTGCATATAATATATAATTTAGTAGGGAGTGAGGAACTGAAAGGGGAGCAATAGTTTGGTCTATAGCTAAGCCCCTAACCTAATGTGGTATTGGATTCTACATCCTGTCAATAATGTCAGTGGTTCTGTCCGTTTTCTGAAAGTTTGAAACAAGTGTCTGTGGTGTTGCGGTAAGGGGCTTCGCTGTAGCACACAGGAGACCTTAGTTTAATTCCAGAGTGGGGAGAAAATGTATATCGAGTATCTTGGCTCTGTCTGCTAGGATGCTTTATCTCTTTCAGTCCGGGTTGGCCCTTAAATTAAGGCAGGGTCGAAGCCTACCTGTTAAATTATCTGAATTGTCTTGATGAAGGGTTAAAACACCTTTGATTAAAAAAAAGAAAAAAATAACTGCCAGAGGAGAATGCTTTCCATAAGGACAATGGCATTGTGTTTTTTAATTAATTTTTTTCAGCGTTGGTTTTGAGAAAGGCATTTCCTTTAAAAAATATATAAAATCAAAGATACTGCATAAATATTAAAGTGAACTGAGTGGGTGGTTGGCAGATGCTCTGTAATGGTGTGCTCCTTCTTTCTTTCCAAACATGATCTATCTTATCCTTATAAATCTCTCCTCTTTCTTTTCTTTTTATTTTACTTTCTAACTAGTAATACGTCAAATCTTCGGCACTTATATAACACATTGTGTTGCAAGTGCTGTAAAACTTGTACTAAAATTAATATTATATTTTTAAGAAGGAAAAAAAACCTAAGTGAATGGGTCCTCCATCATCTTCCCTGGTAACGCAATAACTCTGCAAGCATGAAAGAGAGAGAGAGAGAGAGAGAGAGAGAGGGGGGAGAGAGAGAGAGAGAGAGAGAGAGAGAGACCATGACATGAAAGTGAAGTTGCGTTATATTGATGCCTTTTACCAGTGACTACTGTGTAGTTCTTTCATGTCCTGACGTTGTTGTATCCAATTCATCATTGTATTTGATTAATTATTTTTCAGGAAACTTGTCCAGAGTTTTATGAAACAGTTTAACTCAAACTTTCCGTGAACTAATAAACAAGTTGTTGTTCTTAAACTGCTTTTGAGTTGTTTTTTCTTTACCTTTGTGCAGAGGATAATATTAGTTATGAATGGAAAAAGGAGGGGGGGGGGGGGACTGGAGAGGGAAGGGCATACCTTGTGCTTGTGAAATGTTTATACTAGTGCTACTATTACTATTTTGATGTGATAGTGGTTGGCAGCCCTGTGTGGATGTTTAATTTCAGATCCTGCGTCCTAAATAATTAAAATTATAATATTATGTTGAAAATGCGGGGGGAAAAAACATAACATTTTTTGTCATAGCTTGTTTTTGTCTGTGTGACATAACATATTATTGTCTCTGCCACTCTACTTTGTTTACCATTTTGAAGTAGTTGCTGGTAAACTTGACAAATGCCCATGTGAATTTTCACTGTTGGAATCTGAGTCGAACCCCAATTTTTAAAATAAAATGCCGTTGTTTTCACGCCCCCATCGACACAATTTAGATAATTAAGAAGGCCTGTCAGGACCAGCCTGGGCTGAGAGCGATACAACACCCAAGTAGAAAGACTGAGATACTGGACATTTTTATTGAGTACGTCATGTCATGTATCATACAATCATGACATGACGTACTCAATAAAAATGTCCATGCCAGTCGGCCCAGTTGGTCACAGGCCTCTACTCTGCCCTGATGGAAGTTGTCTCTGACTCTCAAAAAGAGTACATTGATGATTGATTGATCATATGGACTGAATTTTATTTTTCAATTATTTTTAAGGAAAGAACACTCATTGTTGAAATGTTACAGAGTAATTTAAATTTGCTTTGATGTGCATACTAAAAGGAAGAAATATTGAACAACACAAGCTGAATTGACATTTTAGAGGGACAATCTGTACACCACCAATTTGAAGGTGGAGAATAAAAAAACTTAAGTTACGACTACAGTGTTAAAGTACTGTAATTATGACTCATTAATACCCAAATACTTGAATGAAATTGTGAAAGACTGGGCAGCCCCCCTCCCGACTCGGTAATGGAATCTTGGTTTCTTGAGTGCATTAGCGAAGCACAGTGGTAGTTGTAGCTCTACACCATAGACGTCAGTTCCAGATTTTTCCTAGATAGATTATTTACTAATCAAGGAATTGAAACCTACTTCCCAAAGGCATACAGACACCACTCACGTAAAGACCCAAAGAACCCCCACCCCGGGGCAGTGCTACTGACTGAAGTGTCTTTAGGCCATTCCTAAAGAAAAAAAA